GAAAAAGAGAAAGGATGAAGGGGAGGGCGCTAAGGAGCACTTTGTGCCAGTCAGCGAGGACGACCAACGTGAGGCGATTCGTCGGTGTTGCATTTTCAAGTACCTGACGAAGGGTCACACGTTGGGGAGTTGCAAGGGCAACTTCAAGATGAAGTGCCAATTCTGTGACAAACCCCATTTTCAGGGCAGTCAGATGCGGGGGGCCGAGCACTTCACGAAGGGTAGGTGCCCGAGGGTGACACCAGAGGTACTTGTCGACATTTGGAATACGACACAATACTGTTTCGACCAGCGGCGAGAGAGACAGGTGCGGGATTACATGGAGTATCATGGCATCCGTAATAAAAAAGATGTGGGAGTTGGACTGTCGGAGGATGACGAGGTGCAGCATGTTTTGGACAGGGAGGGGGGGAACGGCGAGGGAGGAGAGTGCGGTGGCGACGACGATGAGATGGGCACAGGGGCGGAGGGCGAGGGACCGACGGACGACGGAGGTGAGGACGATGTGCAGGAGTTAGGAGCGTCCCTGCAAGGCAGAGCATTCAAGGTGGGACGCACTGGTCATCAGGCGAGGCATCGTGCGCCTATGGATGGTCGTGGGAAGAGGAGGGCGGACACCGCTCCTGCGGCAAGCGTTCCGGACACGAAACGCTTGAAGTAGGTCAGATTGGATGAGTTGTACGACTTGGAGTGGCAAGCCACCTTCGACCATCTCTTCCTGCAGTGGTGGTATATTGGTGGTGTCTCATTTGAGAGGACGAGGATGGCCAAGTACAGTGCCCTCACAAAACATCTGCAGAATATGCCCAGGGGCATGAGGCCTGCTTTGCCCCAGTTCAAGCGCATAGCAGCTAGTGACATACAGGAGGAGCGTGCGCATGTAGCTGATAAGCTACGTGACATACGCGAGCAGATGCAGTACACGAGGGCTACCATCCTCACGGATGGGAGGAAGTCCCTGAACTCTGAGCCCATCGTGAACTTCTTGGCAGCAGGACAGTCGGGCGCCTTCCTTTTCACAACGGTGCGCAGGGAAGGGGTTGACGCAGAGACGTCAAACGTCGTCTTGCAGCGCTGGAAGAAGGTGTTTGAGAAGTTCGGCACGAAGAACATCAACTCCATCTGCACGGACTCTGCATCAGTTTATGTCGCTGTCGGTCGAGCGCTTTGCAACGATCCCGATCCGGATGTCCGTCGCATCCCTTGGCTCCCTTGTTTTGTCCATTGCTCCAACTTGATGTTGTGAGACATGGTCAAGAATAAGACATAGGCCATCAAGTTGTTGACCAGGACAAAGGCGATTGTCCGGTTCATTAGATCTCACGGATCGGCTCTCGGGCTGTTCAGGATTTACAGCGCCAGGGCCGATCGTGATGCACGGGCAGACCGTGTGGGTGGCAGCGCCGCCGACGGAGAGGGGACAGCAGGCAGAGCACGACACGGCCGAGAGTCGTTGTACCCTTGCCAGACGCGATTCGCCTTTATGTACATCATGATGCAGAGGTTGCGCGACCGCATGGTTCCACTTGAGACGATGATGTTGGAGGGGGAGTGGGCGTGACTTCCATGGGAGAGGAAGCTGCTCGGGCAGGCCGGGTCGGTGTGCACGCAGGTGCGATGCAGGCTGTTTTGGGAGAAGATGGATTATCTCATCGACGTATTCACTCCGGTCGTGCAGTTGTTGAGGAGGTTGGACCAGGGGGGTTTGGTGATCTCTTGCATCCTCCAGTGGGTGACCCATTTGGCCGAGGAGATTCAGAAGTTGGAGTCGACGAGACCTCGCCTGGTTGGCATGCTGCAAGATTGTTATGCTCGTGCATGCCATCTGCTGGAGCCCGCCCATGCTGCCGCCCATCTTCTCAATCCTAAGAGGCGGAACTCCGTTTACTTCCAGTCTCCAGACCGCACTGATTAACAGAAGAATGTGGCGCAGATGACACTACATGGGTTGTGTGTTCGGACATCGGCGAGCGATTTTGCACACCATATAGGGTCGGTTTTTGGTGGTGCGAGTTCTGGGATGTTGACAAGGGCTGCTAGAGCGTCAGGCGAGATAGAGGAGGGCGAGAGTGGTGACGTCATGCCTCTGTCGCCGGTTCCACGTGTTGCCAGAAGGCTAGACATGGACCCCGAGGACGTGCTTGAGGAGGAGCGTTTGAGACAGACGGTGTTGAGGTGTGCCACGACACAGCGGCTTGCGTGGGAGCAGGACACGACCAGGGAGAGGGAGATGGGGTGTATTGTAGAGGAGGTCACTGGCGCAAGATTAGCAGCAGAGTGTACACACGATGGTCATGCAGATGTTGTAGATGGTGGTGGACTTTTCACAGAGGGACACATGGTTGATCGTGCATATGGGGAGAAGGAGGGTGCGAGGGTAGGGTTGGGTCGTTTATGTGGCCCCAGCAACACGTGACTACCCACTACTAATGAGGCGCACGAGGGCGACAATGCGGCCACGACAGACGCAGGGGGGTTGCTTGGGTGCGATGGCACGGAGGTGGAGGGGCAGGTGGATAGAGTACTTGTCGGCGTTGCCGCAATAGAGGATGTGGTCAGAGATCACACTCAGGATGGTCCTGTCGCGGTGGATGTTGTGGTTGCACATCGCAACGAGGAGGAGCGACATGTGGACCCCGACGGCATTTATCGAAGAGGCTTTTGGAGGTTGTGCCTCCATCTTCTTTCGTGCCTGTTAGTCCGCCATTACCCTCGGGGGTATCGGAAGATATAGGGAGGTCTATGGAGATGGCCGACTTGTTCGAGCAATTGACAGGTCAGAGGGTTATCGAGCCGGGAGGGGTATCATGGGAAGCAGGGTTAGTCGCTGGAGGGACACGACCGGCATGTGCAGGGGTTGTGAGTGGACGAGGAGGCGAGTCTGGTGGCAGTGTTGTTGGCGGCGGATGTGGTCCCACAATTGTCGGCAGACGCTCGGGCCTTTCGGGCGGGAGTGTTGGTGGGGGAGAGGGTTCTGCTGCAGCAGCGACGACAGGAGGGCGAGGGCATGTGCAAGGTTCTCCATCACCTTCATCGAAGGCGAAGGGGAAGTCCGTAACGTGGAGCGACATCAATAGGGTCACGCGCAAACTCAAGGATGCTATGCCTGGGGTTACGGATGAGAGGAGGGATCATAAGGGGAGGTTGACGGAGATGTTTGCGGACGCAGCAGGCTGGGTACAAAAGGGAGATAGGTTGGAGCATCCTGGTGCCGGATCGTCATGTGTAACTGAGCGTCGGGGCGACAAGGTGGTTGCACCGCCGTCACGACCGCCCGCAGCAGGTGTGGCACAACGAGATGGTCATCAACGTCCCAAAGGGCGACCTTCCACACGTGCTTTGCCAGGTGCCCGACTCCCCTCCGCATTGCTGGCGGATCCCCCTGATCCTGTCACATTGTAGACCAGCCGTGGAGCTTGTCTTTCGACAGCACACATGATACTGAATGAGGAGCCACGGCGTTAGACAGCGACAGGACCGGGCAGTCGTCGAGCAGCTGGGGGCCGCACGGAGGATTCCGCGACGGATGGGGTGCCCATGCCTAGGGGTAGGAAGACATACACGACCCTGACTGGCGTTTTGGGACGTTCTGTTGCAGGGGGTGTAGAGAGAGAGGGAGAGGTCCAGGAGGCAGAGAGGGTGGCAGCCACAGCAGTTGCCAGTCACGCCCTGTCTGCGTCACAGTAGAGGGGAGATGGAGAGGAGACGACGGCGACGGTGCCGCACAGGCGGCGAGAGCGCATCATCGACGACGATAACACAAACGATGGGCAGTGGGATGCGCCGTAGACCGGGTCTTCGATTTGGCGCCGATGATGTTTCTGTATATCTTTCTTCATTTAGAGTTTTACAGGTTTAGTTCTTCTTCTTGTTTTTTTGTTTTATTTTTCAGTTATTCTGCACATTTTCAGTTACTTGGTAGTTTCATTGTACACCTTTTTTCTTACTGTGACTTTTGTGTTTGTGTATTTCGGTTTGTTCTACTGTCTTCAACTCAGGCATGTGTTTGATGACTGCAATTTCATGTGTTTTATGATAATTTTTCAATTTCGTGGGAACGAGGGTAAGTTGCATTGGGGGGGGGTGCGAGAATGTCTGGGGAGGGGTAACATGGGTTTACCGAGGGGTATGTGGGAATGTGGGAGGAGGGGTAACATGGGTTTACTGAGGGTATGTGGGAATGTGGGAGGAGGGGTTACTTGGCTTTAAAGCCACTTGGTGACGGGTGTCTGGGAATGTTGTGTGGGTGGGGGGTCTGGTGCATCGATGCCATTTGGTGAGGGGTGTAGGTGCTGGGGGATTCAGGCTCGACACGGGTTAAGGGTCGGGGTCGTGTTTTGGGCATGGGTGGTTTGGGTGGGGGAAGGTATTTGGGGGGGGTGCGTTGGTGGTAGTTTGTGAGGGGTGCAGTTGCTGGGGGATTTGGGCC